GCACACCACGCTCTGGCCATACAGATCGATCTCCGGTCGTGCCAACCTGCATGCCATGCGATCCTCCAGGCGCTCTCTGGCGGCACGGTTTTGGTCCTCTGCAGCGAAGTACAGCTGGACTTGCTGCTCAATGTCCGCGGCAAGCTCATGGTCCAGCAGGTGGTGCTGAGATGCTGCTTCAAGTTGCCGCACTCGCAGGACTTTGTCTTGACGGTCGCACTCTTTGCGCTGCTTGTCGGTCCAAACATCACCTGCTAGTTGCTGCGCCTGCGAGAAAAGGACGGCTGGATCCAAAGTCACAGGAGCTCCGGCTGCAACCAGATCTTGAACCTCTTGACGTCGCTTGCGCAGCACAGTTGCCAGTGACTTCTTCGCCTCAGGCTCTTGAGGCTTCTTCTCCTTGAAGTAGCCACGCAGACGTCGTCCTGACTTTCTTGCCTTGCCATACAATGTCACCCAGACTGCAGCCGCTTCCTTGAAAAGAAGCGCTTCCTCGGACTCACTGACTTGGGCCATCTTGATCTGCAGCTGGTCCAGCTCGTGTTGAACACTCAAATTACGTTGCTTCGGGGAGAGTGCCTTGACCGCGGAAAAGTTTTGCTCGACACCGGAGCTCGATACCGTGAAGCTGCCGAAAGCAACAAGCAGCGGGGTCAAAGCCGCCACTGGATAAGATGCCCGAGCCCGCTTTGTCCGTTGCACAGCTGCCTTCCAGGCCTCGAAATTTGTGCAACGCAAGCTGCGCTTCATCTCCTCAGCAACACCGACGAGCTTGACGAACTCGTTTGTGCACGCGTCCACATCCACACCCAGCGTGTTACACAGTCGCCTGATGTCCTGGCCAAATTAGAGAGGCCATAGTCTATTTCTGGGAAATTCTCTACTGTATAATATAACTGTTCAAACTGCAGATAAGCCAACCCCGCATCATGGCCCCTCCTCAGAATGCTGATCCGCTCGCTTGCGGCTGTGTTCCTGAAGACCACCTGCCGCCTGCTGCTTGTCCACATCAGACAAAGCCAGAACGCGGAAGGATCTCATCAAATCGAAGGTTGGGAACTCCGTGCACACGACCTTGCTCGCGACGCTAACCCATGCAGCCATGTGCTTCATGCATGACGCAAGCTGTGTAGCCCGCAAGCCAGTGCTGCAGCCTATCGTCTGCGGGCAGTGCTCATCAAACCACATGGATTGCACCTTGACCAGTTCTAGCATGTGGCGTGTGAACCCGGTGTTCACACACTGCTGGTCTGCGAAAAGTGCCTTGGTGTTGCGCAGGAACGTCTGTACCTCTGCATCCATGAGGCTGATGTCTGTGCGTTCTCGATCCATTGCCCTCGTCAAGAGCAAAGCTTCGTCAGCTGCGTCACAGAGCATTCCCGCTAAGGCCAGTCGCTCGCAGCCAGGAACACCGGAAATGAAGCGCAGGAATTTGACGGCAGCTTGTCCTGCAGCATCCCGCTTCCTCTCGTTGTACGCTTTCACGGCTGTCAAAACAACCGCTGGAAATGTCATAATGCATACTGCAAAGGGTTTGCTGGCTGAGTCGAAGCGGTGTGCCGCATATGACAAACTCTTCTGCAGCTTGATGCTCTGATTGCTGTAATCTTGCTCTAGCTGAAACTCTTCGTACCAACCTTGCAGCATGTTGGAATGCTCGATGGCACTAAACCACTGCGTGAAATTGCGGAAGACCTCGGACATGACAGGCGAGGAAAGCCAGGGAAGTCGCGCCACCCTGGCTCAGCTGGCAAAAGCCACGGCTGGTGTAAGGTGGGTTTCGTGGCAAACAGACAAAACGGCAAAGCAATACGAACACAACAGCAGCGACAAAAACAATGACGCCGTCTTAGATACATCACATATCTTTCCCCGAGATTTGTGGCCTTCGAGACGCATGGGCTCGGTCCCGATTGACCATCACCACGTTGGGCAGGAGCGGCAGCAAGTCGTTCTGAGAGACGGGTACACGCTGCGCCTCCTTGGAAGCCAACATCTCGTCTGGCCCGGCGTCCGAGTTCCACATCAAGACAATCTTCCGCAAGTGATTGTACAAGTCTTCATCAAATGACGGCTCTTGCTTCACAGCACCACCTGCAACAGGAGGAGCACCTCCGAGAGTTGTAGCAGCGGCGCGCAGGACTCGGTCTAAGCTTGCCAAGACCTTCTTGTGGCCGGTTTCCTTAGAGCGATCCATCCCCAGCACACCGCTCTGGTCCTGCAGACTCTCATCTGTTGCTGTGTACCTGACGAGCAGCCTCGTGTCGGCCTCATCCAAAGACAGAGTTGCGCAGCAAGCCTTGCGCAAATGCTTCTGCTGACGACATCGCAAAGCCTCTGCCAAGCAGTACTGCATCTTCCTATGCTTGGCACGATGCACAATCTCAGTACTCTCCTGTTCCATGTAGCGTTCTTTTCGGAAGAAAGCCCACACCGACGCCCACTCGGTGGGAGCCACTTCTTCCGGCGATGGCTGCATCTGGAGAGCATCAGCTGGCGACAGAAAGGCTTGCACTGCTGCTGCGTGACCAGGTGTCTTTTCATGTCGTGAAATGTTTTTCAACGTTGTGCTGACAGTCGCCACTGGAAACCATGCAAAGGGGCTTGCAGCGATGGATGGCATGCTGTCCTCGCCCGAGCTCCTCTGAACGTAGGCGCAGCACGCTGCGCACCCCACCCTGAGACCTTCCGGAGAAGAAATTGCCTGCAGCCAGGAAACTCTGCTACCTGGCATGACGTGCTCGCTTTGCAAACGTGCACCATGCTTCATCCAGTAACATTCCGCGCAAACTTGCGGCCCCAGGTTGCAATGCTTCGCAGCCTTCCCGAGCGACAGCTTTGTTGCTGTGGCACTAGAAGACGACATGGGCAGCACCCAATTTCACAACTTCAGACAGCTCATGCACCCTGCCTGAGCCAGTCTCTACAGTATGGACAAGCTGTCTAGCACTCTCAGACGGTGCTCCGGAGAATCTGCAAGCCCTGCCCCCTAAACTCCTCTCTTGGTCGAAGCCCCCTCTGAACCAAAGCACCCCACAAGCCTGACGCTGATGGAGCTGAGCTTCCGGAGTTGCAGTACGGTTCCCAAATTACCCCGCCTAGCCGCCTATTCAAACCTTTCTGTGGATCTGCGGATAATGTCAATGTAGAGCTGGACATCGCAACTCTGATCAACATTCCTGTTGGTGACTAGCACCATGCTGCCCAACCCTACGACCTGACAGGATTGGATCGACTTCTTCTGCGGAAAAGCGCCTCGCTGACGACCAGCGCGGTGCTCTTCTGGCCACGCCGCCTTTGGGCGCCGAAAGGCGGCGTGCTTTTGGGTTTGTGGGGCTTTTGGGTTGTGGGGGGCGGGGGGGAGGGGGGGGCGCCGAAAGGCGGCATGCTTTTGGTTTGGCGGGGGGGGAGGGGGGGGGGGCGGGGGGCGGCCACCAAGTTTTTCCCCACGCGGACAGCACACAGCTTGAAGGATTTAGGGGCTTCTGCGT